GGCGGGCGTCCGTGGCACCGGCGCCGAGTGCAGGAAGTTCGCGCCGAACATATTCAACAAGAGCAAGTGCAGCAGCTGCTTCAAGCAGAAGGAGGAGCACAGCGCGGAGGCTCTGGAATGCAACAGGGTGAGTTTTGCTTGATGGACTCTCTGTCTCCCTTCCTTTCTCTCTCTTTCTTCTTCCCTGCGTGCGCCTTTTCTTCTCTCTTGCTCGCTATCTACCCTTCTCTGTCTGTATTCTTTGTCTCACTCTAACGTATAGTTGCGTATGTATCTCTATCTCGTTTTTACTCACGCGTGCGTACTCGGTCCATCGCGAGCGGCATTTTCTCTTTCTTGCTCGCCCTCGAATTCCTTGCCGTGATCGGGACCAGCCAGAAGGACGAAGGTCCTGACGTTCGAGATGTCGATGTTATGTAAGATGAGCGTGCACGGTGAACACGATTAGTCCGCGGAACGAACCAACGGTTTTCAACTCAGACACCCGTGTAGCTTCTCTTTTCAGGCTTTCGTCGCGCCGATGTAGCGGTTCGTTCGTCATGATTAGACCGTCGATGTTTTTGCGTTTCGGAGATATTTCAAGATGCAAAAATGTACAGAAGATATATAATTAAAGTACAATGAGTAAAGTATAATATGCAGGGGTGTGTTGCGTTTTGTAAGAAACCGCGCGTTAACGAATCGTATAGGTTATACCAGTTCCGGTATACAAAATCTGTAGATGTTCTATAATTATCTGTGTGTAATTATTTACGAAGATTACCTACATTTTTAAAAGATTTAGAATAGTATGAAGGATCGGTAGATGTTCTATAACTATTATGACGTTGATGTATACAAAAATGTAGATTTTCAGATGATTCACAATTATTTATCTATTCATATTTTATTTATATTTCTCAAGTATCATATCGCGTACGTGTAATTGTATATTTTCCATTATCGTTATACCACTGTTTTATCAGCAAACAGTCCATTTATATCACGTGCATTCATTAATTCCTGTACGGTTTATCCATTGAAGTGATAAATCGCAGGAACAATGAAAAATAGGGTTATAGAGGGTTATAGAGATTATAACGTTTTATAGACAGTCCATTTTACTCGTTATAACATTAAATGAGCGAAATAAATGTCTTCTCTTATGTTCATAAAAATATTGATTCGCATAAATATCCAGCCATGAAACTATATGAATATATGTATATATATACACACGATTCGTTTATCGCAATTCCATGCGCGTCGTCTCGCAATTATAATCTGTATTTGGTATTAGAATATAGCCAGAGTGTGAGAATGCCGGAGTTGGACTTATTATCGTTATAATCGAAATCTATTTCTGGTAAATGGAAAAACGCACGGTACGTTTGATTCGCCGTAGAGTTAAAAAGAAAGGAAAAAAAAGAGTGAAATATAAGTGGAATTCAAGGTTGACGCAGATAGATGGAAGAAATTGCTATTGGCGGAGGCGTTGAGGGCTTTTCAAGGTTAATCTCGATCAATCCGATCAAGTCGTTCAAAATGTATCTTTTAAATAGACCGAAGGCCTCAAGAATATCAACGTTCTTGTATCTTTCTCTAAAAAATGAAGTTTTTTTGGATCCTCGAAATTATTCCTCCCCCCAACCTCTTTTCCATCCGTTTTTCTACTAAAATTTTTCGAATCCTCGAGATTATCTCCTTCCTCGTTCTTTTTCTCTTTATTTTTCGAAGTCGTGGCTGTTTCGATTGAATCGTAATAGTAATTTACAAACGAATGCGCGAAAAAGTAGCATCGCCACGGGCTCCGGGACATAAATACGTGGCACGCGGTACAAGTTAGGAGACGTTAAAAGAAGAAGAACAGGAATCTTTATAGTACGGTTTTCTTCCTTTTGCCTGTGGTTTTTATTTACAACGGGGCCCGGTACGGTCGTCGATGAGCAAAATTGCCTCGTAAAAGCGGGGCCCTCGAGGGGGGTGAGGGTGGGCCGCAGAATAAAAGCGTTAAAAATCAATTGACGCTGCGGATCGTACGGTACCGTACTCGAAACGCCAGCATAGGAACACCGTTCAAGTTTTAGGACACCTACAGCTTTCGCGCGAAACGCGACAATTAACCTAAAGCATAACGAAACGATTAATCGATCAGAATTTTGTATTCGCGCGAGGCTACGATTCAACGCATGTAGGCAAGTGCGAAAGTACAATATTTGAACACTTGTAGACACCTTTTAAGAAATATGGAGAAGTTTATACAAAGTCTGAATCTGTATCGTAAAATCGTTTATCATACGCGTGAAATTAATTAAGCGTAAATACTTACGATAGAAATAATACGAGCGTCAAAATTGGCGAACACAGCGATGAAAAGATGCTACAGATGCGAGCAAGAACTTGGTTACGTCGAATTAAAGAGATCGTTGTTACAAGAGTGTTACAACTTATGTTCGACGTTTCAAACGAGATGACAATTCCTAGACGATTTGATAATTTTCGTAAAAATACGTATGAACGTGTCATATGTTAAGAACAGTCGTCTGTTTAAAATCTGTTCGATAAGACGACGTTTATTGTCTTTTTTTCTTTTTTTTTTTTTGTTTCGTTTCTGGTTCTCTCGATTCTCCAGAGTTTCTTCCATTCTCCACGATTATCCGTTTTTCTGTTGCTCTCGAGTATCTCTCTGGTTGGTTTTTACACAGCAATCGATTCCAGAAGAGAAAAGGGGACTTTGAATAGGTATAAACGCTTTTTGCGGTATACGGTATAGAGAAACATATCCATAGCCGATACGATGAATGACGAGCGGCGTTTCTGGTTTCCGCTAATGACGCCAGGAAAATTGCACGCCGCATGAAACGCGCTGCATAATATATTGATTTTACCTACGGATGTTTCCATTGGGAAATGTTTGCGAAACTTTGTATCGATGTCAGAGCTGCGTAATTTATTTCGTTTATGTCGCGTGACGCGCGTGCATATTAATTTTCAATATGCATACGAACATTGAAATATAGGAAATTGAAAATATAGGAGATTTAGCTCTGAAATATAACCGCTTGCCCCTCTATCTTATCTCATTTGCATATTTTGTGTTTACGAAAGAGACTTCTTAAAATTCGCGCAATATCATTTCCTCGCTATTTCTTTCACATAGATTCTACGATTACACGAAACGTAGTATTATTAACGTAGTATTATAAACTTTGGTCGTTAACGGTTTAATTAATGAATTATCGTACAAAGAGACTCGAGTCTCGTTATATCGCATGGCCAAAAACCCGAACGAGTAGAATAAAATGTAAAGAAGAGGTGGGTGGTCGTAAAATTCGTACGGCATCTTGCGACGAGATTCTTGAAAAGCTGTTCTTCTGTTTCCAAGAAAGAAAATAGAATTGGAAGAAGAGCGAGGGTGGTCGTGAAATTCTCGCGATCTATGAGCTTCTCGAGGAGAAAGGGAAAGATCACGAATCTATTGCCCTTTTACGCTTTTTTCGGCCAGAGGCCAGGACAATTTCGTACACGTACAATGGGACACGTCGCCCGTGCCGAGGCCGTTGCAAATTTCGGAATGTCGGCAGCCTTGCGACCTGTTCTCGGTGCATTCCAGCCGTCTTCTCGCGGCACCCCAACAGCACAGGCCCTTTCGAGAGTTGTTGGCTTGTCGGCTTTCGCCTGGATGCGGTATCTCTGTATCGGTTTATTCTCCACCTCTTCGCCTCTCTGTCTCGCCGATCTGCACAGGTTTCTTGGCTTCTTTCTTTCTTCCTCTGTCTCTCTACTTCTCGCTGTTGTCCCCCATATAAACCGCAAATAACGAATGCATACGCAATCCAACCTTTCTTTGCCCCTTGGTCGCACGGTTCTTCGTCTCGCGGCTCGTAATTTGACGAGGAGAGTCTCGAATCGAAGGAATTTGACCTTTTACAACGTTTCTCGCGGCGGCCCTCTCCCGGATCGTTTCTACGAGTTACGACTATCGCGGAAGTGCAAGCTGATTGCGTGAATATCTGTAAAACGCGTGTTCCACACCGATTCCACGTAGGTCTTAAAGGTTAGAGGATCGGGCAGTTCGAAGATCGGGCAATCGTTGGCGAATGAATTTTTATCGATCACGATCGATATATCTTCCAGTTAAATTACGGCAGTTTCTATGTTTCTTTTTTATATGGGGTATAAGACATCGATAGAAAGTTGCTGTTTGTGCGAATTTAGATTTTTACGAACGCAACCAACGAGGATTCGTTTCGTTCATTAGATACTACGAGAAGTACTCTGCGTTGTATTAGGTTGTGCGAAAAATATTTTTCTTTCGCAAACGTGTTTTTTACGACGGTGTTTTTTACATCTTCATACAAACGTGAAACCAAGTGTGTGAAATGTCGCGGTGTTTATCTCAACAGAAGAAAATGGATCGTACGCAATTGGACAAAATAATATAAAACAAAAAACGTTGCGCGTCTATTATTTCTTCATAAAACGAAAGAAACGGAGAATCTAATATGTTCGTGTACGCTTTTACTCTCTTAAGTTTTTTATAAATGCATAATATTCGCGATCGAATCGTCGTTATTTCCTCCACAGCGTGGATCAGACGTTCAACGACTGGAAATAGAAAAATGTGACTCTTCGTTAACTACTTTGAACTGTGTGATCCATTCTGTTTAATTGGATCCTCGATGTTGTGTTCTCATTGTCAATTTCAATTCATTAAGTTCGACCGTGTTGTCCTTACGGTGACGTTGTAACTTCGACGATGCTCGAAGTCATCCTGTCGACAAGGAAATGTTCCGATGCTCGTCATCGATTCCCCTTCACGTTTAATTATATCATAACGATGAACACGCAACAAAAGATCCTTTCGATAATCAATCCCATAGACCTAAATAATTTCCACTGTCAATCTCGTTGACTGTTCAAAAGCGAAGCAAGAAAATCTCATTGAATTTCCACGAATTTGCCTAAACGCTGCACCGCGTTGTTACACCACTTGGAACGTTCAGTTACGAAGGAAACACAAAGAAGTCTCTCACGATTTCTCTAAATATTCGCTCGATAGACAACAACGTTATACTCAAATATCGACTCTAAAACGAGGAAATATCTCTGGAAATTTCGTCTCGCGATCGGACGATCCCCAAAAGC